TGAAAATTCCTGCTTTGGTTTTGCAAGTGTTTTAATTAACGTACATTATTTTAGTACACTTTACTACTGATAGCATGTAATTATCTCCCCACAGGTATATATTTAGCTAACCACCAGGCTGATCAAAGACTTATAAAATAAGGTACTTTTGCAACTGACATCAGATACAAGCAAAGGCCAGCAAGATGGGACCAAAGGAGGAGGGAGGAATTCCCCCACCCCACTCCTAAACCCAGGGCTCAAATTTCACCACTTAAAAGGATAATCATAACATTAATGTACACATTTTATCAGAGGAGCAGGAAGATGCATCAACACACAAGTGCTGTGAAGGAGAAAAGAATTATGTACATGCTAAACTATTAATCACTGGTAAGTGATCTCCTCTGCAAAGTGTTTTGAGGTTGATGAAGGAAAATGGCTCTATAATAACACAGAGCAAGCAATCTGCTTGCAATCACAGGTTCATTCTCTCAACTGCTTTTGCCATGTCAATCCCTAGGTATTATTATCTCTGCAAGGCAATGCACCATTTTCCTGAGGAGGTCTGGCCATGGAAGAGATTTCAAACTCCACACCCTTTTCTTATCCTATTCAACGCTGGAGTCTGGTTTTCACTGCAAGCACAATTTTAGATGAACCATGCGGAAACCTCAGCAGCTGCTCTGCTCTCACCACACCAGATTGTTCATACAATTAAAAAATAATTGACTGGATGAATTAACCTGGGGCTATAACTTTTCTCCAAATTACTGGCGTCTCTCTGTTGAGCTTCTGCAAGAGCTGGTAGCCCATGATTTCTTTTTCTCCTTGATGGCAGCAGCTCTTTAACCTGTGCTGGTGGGAATTCATCAGACTGAAATGAGTGCTTTGGAGCCAAGAGGCATCCTGTGCCAAACCACATGTTTCAGAACCATATCTGGTCCACAAACCACAGAAGGTTTGATCCTTTATTAAAAGCACTGGGTGCTTTGTCATCAGTTTCAGTGGGCACGAGATCATTTAGGTAAATCCTCGTTTCTTGACCTTCTTGAAGGCCACTCTGTGCTACCTCACACACCTGCAGACACCATGTCTGTATATTCCAACAGGACCACTGACCACCCAGGTGAGACCCTGAGTCTTTATTAAGGGTGGCGCACAGAACAGGAAATATGATCCCAATTTCCAAGGGAGGCTGTTCTGCTTTTTACTTCTCCTTTTCAGCAACTCAGATGAAGTGCGACTTAACTTTATGGGCCAAAACTGAATATTTGGACTAAAAGCTGCAATATTATGTGTTACCCTTGTTAGTGGAGAAAGGAAATCTCTTTTGTATCCATTGACATCCTTTACAAAATACTCTGTGTTTTCTGAATTTATTTCTATTTTTATTTCTACTTCTATTATTTCTATGCCATTATGTACGAACTTCACAGCATTTTCTAGAGAGGTCTTCACTAAGATGAAAACCTCAGGGCAACACTCCATTAGGCTTTTATTTTTAGAGCCTGGGCTAAACCTTCTTGAAATTGGTAGGTTTAACTGCATTCCTTTATTTAGGGTAGCTGAAGGAGACATTAAGTCTATTGCCACCCACAATACAAGATTGCTCAAGAACCTGAAGGCTCTGGGAGGACAGTTTGGAGTAGGATATTAAAAGGAAGGAAGGTTATGTGTGGATGCTATGGTTCAGGTGGAGGAAGAGACAGAAAGACAAAGGGTATGGAAACAAGCAAAGAACAGAAACTTCAAAGAGCCTGAGCAATCATTGATATAAGACCTGGAGTGAATACAAGGATTTGGGGTCACATTGCTGCCTGGAGCAGGTCTGGAGCTCTAAGCAAGGCAACCGGCTCTCAATGTGTGAGTTCTTCTGTGGTCAGGAAAAAAGGGCTGTGAGAATTCTTGTAAGCAAACAGAAACAGATTAGAAACACTTTTCTTTGTCACAGGTCCTCCCATCTGGATCAACCAACAAGACCCTGCATTTTGGCCAGCAGCACAGGTCAAAAGCAGGAAATGTGCAGCAAAACCTCCTGCACATCTGTACCATTCCACTCTTCCTGCTGGGTCAGGTTAAGGTGGCATAAAGAGAACAGCCCTGTTCCTCTCACCCTGCCAGCATGGGCAGCTCAGGCCAAGGCTTGAGTCACTGCTGCTTCTAATTGAATTGGAGGTGGATCCTCATTAAGGATGTCCATTCTTATCCGAACAATCCAAATTTCCCCAGATCTTGCTATAAGCGCTTCGAGCAGCTTTATGTGCTCTTCTGCTCTGTAGGGAACTCCTTAAAACGAGGCCCCCGCCACCGGCTTTCTTCCTGTAGGTGAATTAATCTGCCTTGCATGAGTAATCCTGTTTAAAACAATAGGTTGCCTTGCAAGAATGAGGGAAGCAAGTTTGGAGCATGATTTTCTGAAAGTACTGTAAAAAGGCCACATAGTAGTTCATCAGGGGACACTTCAGCCATAAAACGACAGTTACCGGTAAAGTCCAATAATAAAATAAAGGATAATTTAATAAGAGGGTTTTAAACTCATTTAGCAGGGTCTAAATTTGGAATCCTTTTTTCAGGTGATCAGACACACTATACATTCCTAATCCTACTTTATGTTAATAAGGAAAAAAAATTTTAAACCAAGCAGCAATGTATTCCTTCTGCCTTTTTTTTTAATGTTATGTCATGTCATGTCATGTTATGTTATGTTATGTTATATGTTATGTTATGTTATGTTATGTTTATGTTATGTTATGTTATGTTATGTTATGTTATGTTATGTTATGTTGTTATGTTATGTTATGTTATGTTATGTTATGTTATGTTATGTTATGTTATGTTATGTTATATTATGTTATGTTATGTTATAGAAGTACTCAATGTAAATAAATTAATTTTGGTAAAATAGAAGGTGAAGCTAGACACGGATACCAGCCTCTGATGTGTGACACAATTCTATATATCTTCAGACAGCACAAGTCCCTCACCTCACTTAATACCAGGTAATACAATCCTGCAGACTCCAAGAATCCTGCAGTGGCAGGAGGGAGGAGTATTGAATAAGACTCTGTGAGCTAAGAAAAGTAAAAGCTGCAGAGATTAGTGTTTATGTAGGAGCCCTGTGGGCTCCTTTCAGCGTCCTTAATTTAGTTTGCATCTCTGATCCACTCTACCAGTCCTGTGTGGGATGGAGATTTCATATCCAGGAATCCCGGGGTGCTGTTTGACCTGGCAGGGGCAGCGGGGGAACGGCTGCTCCCTGTTTTCCGCTGCAGCACTTCGCTTTTCAGCTTCAGCACAATAAACAGCAACAAACGCTGACACTGCCACGAACCTGCACGAGAGGAATTGAAGCCTCTAGAGGTCACCACGGGGACCATCAGCCGCAGCCGCTGCCTGCGAGTGACACCTGCTGGAGTCACACCTGGTGCCACCACCCAGGGCTGCAGGTGTGCCCAGGGTGGGCCCGAACCCCCCGGCAAGGCTCTGGGGAAAAGGAAATAAATCTGCGTGGCTCTTTCTCCTTTTACTCTGAGCTGGTGCAGTCTCACCTCAAGTTCTGGATGCAGTTTTGGGCACCACAATAAAAGATATAAAGCGATTAAAAGGAGGGCTACGGAGAAGGGGAAAGGTCTAGGGGAGAAGCAAAACAAGGAGTGGTTGAGGTCACTTGGTTTGTTCTGCTGGAGGACAATGAAGAGAGATTCATCGCGGGCTGCAGCTCCTTCCGAGGGGCAGCGCAGGGGCAGCTGCAATCTCCGCTCTCTGGGAGCAGGGACAGGACCCAGGGAATGGCTGGAATGTCAGGGGGAATATCAGTAAAATTCTTGTCCCAGAGGGGAGTGAGGCACTGGCCAGGCTCCTCAGGAAATGGTCACAGCCCCGTGGCCACCAGAGCTCCAGGAGTGTTTGGACAATGCTCTCAGGGCTGCACAGGCTGTCCCCTGCAGGGCCAGGAGTTCAACTCTGATCCTTGTGGGACCCTTCCAGCTCAGGATCTTCTGCAATTCATGTTTCAGGAAGGTAAAATTTATCTTTATCGGCACATTAACTGCTCCACCACTTTGATTATGTGGGTTTATTTACACCGTATACCCCAACCCAGCCTCTCTCCTTTTGCCTTTGACACCCTTCCAGAGGAGCTGGAGTAGAGCACAGCATATTCCCACAGGGAAAAGTTTTCAGTGGGCACTGAAAAAGAACTTCTCACAGTGCAATAAGCCACAATTTCAATGTATGTTGCAGTATATACTGTCTGTGAACACATATTTACCGTGTTAGAGCTGCAATTTAAGAACACATTGGAAAAGGTTCATTTGTGGGACATTGGCAAGATTGCTGATGGAGACGTGTGAAGATGCTGATGACAGCTTGTGAATTTTTCTATATTTCCTCACAATCTGAAGCACTGCGAGGAGGGCACCTGACACCCCATAACGTGGGACGGTGTGAGGCGCTGCCCTGGGGGATTGAAGGACATGATCAGGAGTTGTTTACCATCCCTGAGGAAGGGTGCAGCTGATGAAGGGACCTACTGGACTGGAAATGAAGGGGAAATCCCTCAGGTGCCCCAGCACCCTGCCAGGCTAGCAGTGCCTGTGGCACCTGGGGCGATGTGTGCAGCCCTCACTGGGGAATTGGCCCCCCAGAGAAGAGATGACAGAATCATGGAATGTCAAGGAATTGGGAGGACCTTAAAGATCAACCAGTTCCAACTGTCTGCCATGGGTAGGGACAACTTCCACTACATCACGTTGCTCCAATCCCCGTCCAACCTGGCCTTGGACACTTCCGGGGATGGGGCAGCCACAGCTTCTCTGGGCAACCTCTGCCTGGGGCCCATCACCCTCACAGGAAAGAATTTGTTTTTGTATATCTAATCAGAATTTCCCCCACTTCCAATTAGTACCCATTACTCCTTGTCCTGCCCCTAGGACAGGCAAGACGGGCTCAGGGCGGCACCGGGACCGCCACGGTCGCTCCTGAGGGGGCCGTGACACACCCAACATGGCGCCCGCCCCGCCCCGCCCCGCCCGCCGCGTTCCCGCCCTTCCCTCCTCCCATCAGCCCCCGCGGCCCGTCCCTTCCGGGCACGGCAAGATGGCGCAGCCGCCGGGTGAGTGCGGGGGGATCAAGGTGACCGCGCTGTCCCCCTGCCGCCTTTCTCCCTCCCTCCCTCAGCCCCTCGCTCACCGGGCTCTCTCCCTCTCCCTGCCGCAGTTCTCCTCAAGGACATGAAGCTGATGGACGTGAAGCTGGGCCAGCTGGGCAGCTGGCTGGCCATGAGGGACTTCACCCCCGGCGGCATCTTGGGGGCCATTCGAAGAGGTGAGGCGGGTGCGGGACCCTGAATTTCTTCTCCTGATGGAGCCAGGGAGAGTAGCACACAAGAATCCCTGGCTGCCGGAGTGGATGTTGCCTGGGGGGAGCATGGCATTGCAGGGGCTGCTCCATGGCCAGTTTTGCCTTCCCACAGCAGTTTCTCCTGTAACATCTCGTTTTTCCAATTGTAAATTTATTTATCGTGTAGGCTTTATCCACCAGATGTTTGTTCTCAGTATTTCTTCTTCTATAAAGAGGCAATGTGGTGCCTTTAGTCCTGAACCCGTTGGCTGAAAATCTTGGGGTTTCACAACGTCACAAGTAAGCAAAAAAGGATTAAAAGGCATTTGATGCCTACAGATGGTAAAAGAGGAGACAGAGCCCTTATGGATCACTTGGGACCACTGTCGTTTGCTGTAGGTACAAATGTCATTCAGGTAGATTTAAACACAAAATGCCAAATGCAAGTGTTTGCCTTTGATAATACATGTGTGCATGTATATACTGTATGGAAGAGTTTGATAATTCCAAAGCAGCTTGAGCTTATGAAAGTCATAATAATATTTAGGGGGAAAAAAAAAGAAAAAATAGGGGGGTTTTCCCTTTTTTTTTTTTTTTTTTTTTTTGTTTGTTTTTTTAAGGCTTAGGTCTGTTAACTTGGGATCACCTTGCTCAACCAACACGTAGGTTGCTTCCTCTCAGACTTGCTTCTGAGACCTTCAGATTAGAACCATTTCCTGAAGTTTTGTGAATCCAGGCTGCCTCTTTCTCTCACAGGGTAACACACAACTCACCTGGCTGCTCTGAAAACTTTTCCTCCTCCACAGGTCACAGCAGATACTACAACAAATACATCAATGTGAGGAAGGGAGGCCTCGGGGGTCTCTCCATGGTGCTGGCTGGGTATATTATCCTCAGCTACATGTGGAGCTACAGCCACATCAGTAAGTAAAAACCATGTCTGAGTGTGTGCAGGGCAGCTTGGAAGGTTGCCTGGGGAATAAAAACAATTACCTGCTGCTGCTTTAAAAAAAAAAAAGAAAGATTGTTGGCAAACAAACTTCTTTTAGCCATAGAAAACTTGAATGCTTACTGAGTATTTGTATGAAGAAAGTTTAGACCTTGGTGCCTGTCTGACCTGACAGCACCGAGAAAATAAATGCTATGGGGTTTTTCAGAATGCTTTCTTGCCTGTAATTTCAGGTGTGGTGGGGTTTTTTTCTTGTGAGTTCAGGAGAATTAACTTGCTGTGCTTTGCTGCAGAGCATGAGCGCAGGAGGAAATACCACTGAAACACCATCAGAAGGTGAAGGTGCACAGCTACCCTGACAGAAGACATCAGAACTATGGATAATAAATGTGTACTCTTGTGACCAATAATAAAGTGCATACACTTTACATTTCCTGAGCTGACACTCTCCTAATTGAGTTGTTAATTGTACTGTGCGAATAAATTTGTCTTCTGAGAATTTCACACCTCAGGGTAAGTTCAGAGGGAAAGTAGCTGCTCCTTGGGTTGTATTTTAACTAAGGGAACTATTGGTAACTGATTCCTCTTTGATCAAAACGGTAGCATTGGATTGCTTCTTCCTGGCCATTATGGGCAGGCTGGACAAGGGGCTGAGAGGATGTGTTTTGATTTGAAAGAATATCTGAGCTTTGTGTGCCCTGTTGGTGTTTCTGGTTCTCAGTCAGGCTGTCACCAGGGGCTGGAGGTGTTTTGGGCAGTTTTGCAGAACACTGAGATGAGACAGGGCAGCAGCTCTTCTCCTGTCACAGCATCAGGTAACCCAAAATTTCCATCAAACTCCTTTCACTGCCAAAACTGGGAGGTCATTCTGAGTGCAAATAAGCTTCAGCTTTTTAATGCATCAAAATAAAGGAAAACTTTCCTGCTTGACTTAAATGCTGCTCAAAGGAGCATCTGTGGGTGTGGCCCCAGCTCTGAGCTTCCTCATGCCTCAGTCACACCAGCACCTGGAGCTGGGCACTGCTGCCCACCTGAACCATCCTTGTCTGAACAGCAGGGAGAGTGAAAACCACTTCTTGAGGGGCATGAACAATCTCCCAAGAGCTTCAGTGATTACAGGAGAGCTTTCAGTGTTGGGTACTGAAGCCCAAAGCTCCTGAACTCGATGAGGAAGGTGGTCAGAACTGGAGTGTTAACTCCTTTTCCTCATGCCCAGTTGCATACAGATCACACAGCTCAGTCTGAGGGGGGCACAGAATGTTATGAAAGTGTCTGATGGTCTGTGACTCCAGACTTGAAACTTCCACAGTGAAATAATTGCAGTCATTGACACCAACACAGGCTCTGGTCACTTCTCTTAATTCAGCCACATTTACCTTGTTCTTCAAGAAAAATAAATTCACAGACAGCTTTTGCCATCAGTACATTTCAATAAAAACAAAATATAAAGGCAGGCAGCAAATGAAGAGATAGGGTAGAATCAATAAGGCTCACATTGTGGCTATTTTTTTCTTTTAATTCACATTTTGTCATTGGCCCTTTTTGAAACAGTCATCTCAAAATAAATGGGGTTTGTGTTGAAAAAAATGCTCTCAGAAGGAATCTCTACCAACACTTTAAAAGCAGTGTTCCATAAGAATATACAGCTCCACTTCCTGCTCTCCAGAGTGTGGCAACACCTGCTCAGTGTGAGCTGGATAATGGGACTGAGACAAGGCTCTTCTATTCCTACTCCAAGCCGTGCTCTTGTCCCTCCTTTCTGCAAGTGGGAACTGAGCACAGATGCAACTTTCCTATAATCATTGTTCCTTATTGTCTGGCTAACCAGAGAGATGCCAATTTATTCTCCCCCTGATCAGTTCTCTCCCAGAAAATTGGTTTCTAACCTTCAGTACAGCAAGAAGCACAGAAACAAAGCAAGTGGACACAGGTTTTACTGCCTAATGTACGTGAGGGGTTTTGTCAGCCACCAGGACAAGCTCACCAGGCTGACCTGGAAACAGGACTTTGCTTTTGAAGAGCTACAGGACAGCAGAATCCCTGCTTCCTCACTGAGGAGAAGGCATTGCAAGTGTTAAGTTTTCCCAGTCAGTCTTCCTGCTTCCACAGGGAGGGCTGAAACGCTGCAGATTCTCCAAAGAGAAGTAGCAGAAGGAAAATACTTTAAAGAAACACTGGCCTAAGGTGTATTTATGTGGAGTGCTGCAGCAGTAAGGGCTTGGATTATCTGCTGGCTTTTAGATCTACCTTTCATAAGGGCTCAATGAAAACAGGCGGAGGCCAAAATTGATTTTAAAAAGGTTAAAACTTAAAAAGTTGGGGACAATTACAAAAATGTTGCTTAGCAGCAGCCAGCCTCGGACCAGTTCTTTCAGTAATGGCATTAAAAAAACAACCTGATTAATAGCTCCAGACATTGTGCTAGGCAGAGACCTTTCCTCAGTGGTAACAGTTCCCTTGCACCTTCCTGCTGCTCCTTCACTGTCCACTGAGAAAGGCCAGGTGTCCTTTGGTGCATCTGTTGGCATAGTGACCTTTTTCACCACACTGAAAGGGAAAGAGACAGGAGTTATTGCAGAGCTACACAGCTCTTTCCTCCAAGCTGCTTTATTAAGGCATCCAGCAACTGCTCCCGTTTGGAAGCTTTTCCACACGTGGAAAATGCAGCATTTAGCAGGTGAAGTGAAACAGGGTGTCACGAGGGACAGGATTTATGGGCTGCTATCACACCTTGGAGCAAAAACTGCTTCTATGCTGGGAGTAACCTGATGCCATGTTATTCTAGGGCATTTCAAAGGAGAGAACCCTCAGCACAGGAGCATTTCAACATTTGAGGCTTCTCAGACTACTCCACGTGATATGCACCATATCCATGGGGACTCTCCTGATCTTCATGAATAAACAGAGAAAAGCACCTCTGAACTTGAGAAAGTCACAGACTTTGCATCTTAAAGCTACTCAAACACAGAGAAATGTCAGTATCTGTGCAATGGCCTTCTCCAGATCTGTAATTTACTTGCAGATAAGAGAGGCAGCTATTAAAGGTATTCAGTGAAATGCATTCAGCTATTTAATATCCCTGTCCAATCACAGTGACTTTCACCCAAACAAGCACCTAAGGCTCAGAGTGGACATGCAGAACATTGTAACTGTCAGGGATAAAGGGACAGGAAGATTTTTTGTCCTTTTTTAGTGACTGTGGCTTTTGTGGAAAAATAAGGAGATGGAAACTTGATTGTGTCCAAATTTTCCTGGTGCTCCTCAATGAGCAACCAAGGTGAACGACTCATTCCTTGGTTTGACAGCACAGGGTGCATTTAGAGTTCAAATACTGAGCAGGCTTTGCAAACCTAATTTCTGTTACTTTCAATGACCTTCCAGGAAACAGGGGAGAAGAGAATCTACACCCACCAGTGTAAACAAACTGGCTTATGAGACAAAAAAAAATTAACTCTTATTTTGAAATGTGCAACTTGGCAGTCTCCTTTCAGTCTTTGGGGCAGGGTTTTCCTGTTTATTAGTAGACAGCAAAGTCTTACAGAATTTGTCATTGTCACAGCAAGGCAACGACCTCAGAACGCAATGCCAATTCCCTCAGCTGTATGCAGGCACCACACAGTGCATACTGAGCAGAGCTCAGAAGTCATGAACCTTTTTACACTGTGAAAAAGCCTGTTGCTTTCCCTCCTCAGCCCTCCCCCCTGCATTACCTTGTAGCAGGTGACCTGTTCCAATGGCCGGGGTCCTCTGTTTCCACTGTTGTTATTTTGAGATTGCATTACTCCAATGACTTGGGGTGTCCTCTGTTGGGTAGGAGAAGAGTTCTGACTCGTTAAGTGCATCAAGGATAAAGATCTTTGTGTTTTTTGTTTTGTTAAGAAGGGAAAAGAGCACCTCATATGTCAAATGATCAATTTTCCTCCAAATCTGTGTGTGGGTGCTCTGCCAGCTGGAGCACCAGAAAGAAGAAATCAAGCACTGAGCCTTACAAAGCTCAGTGATCCTGTTTTTCTCTGGAAAGCAGATTTGGAGAGTAGGTTTAGGCTGCTAAAATATCATTGCCATCACGGAGGGATGTCACCCTGATTACAAAACCTGGCAGACTGCTGCACAACCACACATGATGTGTTTCTGTGTAGTGTGGGAGTGTTCTGTGACATGATCTCCATGTGAAGCTGGAACAATTGTGGGGTTTCATCACTACAATGGCACTCAGGGTTGCTCACTGCTTAATTCTCACTTCCAGACCCAAGAGCCTGGGTGCCCAATTTTGACCACTTGACAACCTGATCTATTTTAAAGCACTGTGGGAGAGGTTTGAGGGTGGCTGTGTAGGGAGGCAGGGAATCTGGGTACCTTTTGCTGTGTTTGTGTTGGCTGAGGCAGTGGTGGTTGCTCTGTGGTTCCCATTGGCAGTTCAAACCGAGGGCTAGTTTAGATGGAAACAAGAAAATTGATTCTCAAATCATATGCCAACATTTTATCATCAGCTCAGTCAAGTAACTCCAAACAACAAAACATTCAGCCAGTTAAATCTGGCTCACAGGAAACAGACCTCCCCCTCCTCACTTCTCTTTACATATGTGTAGCATATCCCTCTGCCTTCTGGAATATAAATCCATGTGATTCCACTGCACTGATGGCACCTAATCACCATGCCAGTCTTACTGGGAACTCCCTGGAGAAGCCCTGCCCCATATGATAGACTGGTTAGGGTTGGAAGGGATTCAAAGCTCATACAGTTCCAACCTCCCCTGCCACAGGCAGGAACACTTTGAATTACCCCAGGTTGCTCCAAGCTCCATCTAACCTTCAGGGATGGGGCAGCCACAGCTTCTCTGAGCAACCTGTGTCAGGGCCTCCCCACCCTTACAGGGAAGAATTTTTTTTCTAATGCCTAATCTAAACCTACTCACTTTCAGTTTGAAACCATTCCTCCTTGTCCTGTCACTATATGCTCTTGTAAATACTTTTCCAATCCACAAGCCAGTAAAAATTTGGCCCAACTAAACAGTGGCAAATCTCCAAACCATTGGGAAGCACGGGAGCACCCTCATTTGACATGTATCAGAACACAAGGGAAACACAAGGCTGCAGAGCAGGCCTGGAGCATACTCACTGCATGAATTTACAGGCAGGCCCCTCTGGACAGAATCCTACCAGGTAATTCACACAAATGACTCTCCGAGTGTGCCGATGCCTGCACAGGGGACCTGCAACAACACAAAGCTCAGCAGTTCACACTCCAGGCATCCATATCCCAGCAGATCCCAGCACATCCACCAGCAGATCATGCAAAGATGGAGCAGCAACACTCCCCCTTGATCTCCAGGCACAGGAACAGAAACTGTGGGAGGCACATACCGTGTTTACAGAAGCCTCTGTCATACCAGGGACAGTCTTTGATCTTCGACTCCGGGTCAATGTG